TCTGCTTAAGTGTCTTGTTTTTATTTAGTCACTTTAAAAAATACTTTAGCCATCTCAGCCCAAATTAAGGCCTTTATATATCTCTGGAAAGGAACTAGAAAGATGTCATCTGTCATAGGAGGTCCAAGTGGGACAAGCACAGAATTAGCCCAGCTGTTCGCAAAGATGCTTCCCCTAACTGACCTTTGAGTTCCAGTCTCAGGCCTTTGCCTTATCATCAGTCTTGTTTATCTGCCATACTTACCTCAGCGTCCTCCAGTTAGAGGCCCAGGCATGGAGCTCCACCCACACTAGCTCATCTTGCGGTCAGCGTAACCCACCCTTGGTCCAGAGGTGCCCATAGGCCTTACAGTGTCCAGCACCTGCCTAGTATGGAAACAGGTGGACAGCTCACTTCCTTCCTTGGACAGCTGGGCACCTCTGACCCCCTACAAGTCCATTCTATGGAGACAGATTCACTCAGGTACTGGTATTCCTGCTTGACCAGGCCAGTGAGGTGCAGGGGAGTGACCACAAAATAAGAGTGTGATCCAGGACAGAGCAGGGCCATGCCAACCTGGAGAAGTGGCATTCCAGATTCCGAGTCTTACCACCTGAGGCCTTCCAGGATTGTTTTGCCAATCGATTGTTCTACTGTCTACTTCAAGATCTTCTCCCAGCATTCCTCCCTTTTTCCTCATTACTTGTGAGGAGTTTGAGTAATTTTGCAAAACTACGACCACAAGGTGGCAGTAGAATAGGCTTTTCTGAGTGAGATTTGCATGCAGGGGACCTGGCCTCACAGCAGGAGTCTAAACCCAAGTCTGGACCAAAAGCCAGCTGTTCAAAGGAGAACCTCGAAGGAACATCTGGGGAAATCAAGGGATGGGAGAGAGAGCTTATTTATCTCAGCGCTGTCACCCAGGAGCAAAGTATAGAGCTGGGTTAGAGAGCTCCGAAGGGCAGCAGCAGCTTGGAGAGTTTGTGGCCTGGGCTTACCGTCTCTGTTGCCAAAACATGAAGCTCAGGCTTTGTGGGGCATGCAGTTCTGGCAGGCTCTAATTAACTATGAATCTGCTCATTTGTGCAGTTTATAAAATAACTGGATGTATAAGTTTATTTTGCTTTTGAAGTCTGGGGTCTCCGCCCACAGTGAAGAAATCAGTAGGTGGAAGCTGACACATAGAGGCCATCCTTGGCTCAGTTATTTAACACATGAAGGCAGAATCTCTCCTGTCTTGTCCTTTAAAATTCTGGCATAAACTTTTTCTTTTGTCTGTTTGAGACAGGGTTTCACTATGCAGTTCAGACTGGCCTCGAACTCCTAGCAATCCTCCTGCCACAGCCTCCTGAGTGCTGGGATTACAAGCACGTGCCACCATGCCCTGCCTGGCATAAGCACTTACCGTTGTTGTTACAGCCACTCACTAGGGACCATCTCTGTCTCTGGCACCTGCCGTTTTAGTCTTGATCCCAGGAGCATAGCATCAACCATTGCATCCTCCCATGTTCCCAGTCTAACTGCAGCCCTTCTTAGGACTTCATTTGGCAAGGATTTCCTAGATATGACACCAAAATCACAAAGAAAAAAATAGATGGATTGAATTTCTTCAAAATTGAAAACTGTGAATCAGAGAATACTATTAGTTGAGTGAAACAGGCCTGGTGGCACTCGGGAGGCTGAGGCAAGATCACTGCAAATTCAAGGCCAGTCTAGGCTACATAATGAGTTCAAGTTCAGATCAAGCTACAGAATGAGACCCTGTTTCAACACAAAACAAAACAACAACCAACCAAACAAAGAATATTATTAGCAGAGTGAAAATTATAATCTGGAAAAGGCTAAGTAACTATATATCTAAAAGAGTTTAGTATTCAGAACATATAAAGAACTCCTATGGTTTCTTTTGGTTTAACAATCAAAAGACAAAAATCCTTCTTAACAATAGGCAGAGGATTTGAGAAGATATTTCTCCAAAGAAGATCTGGACACATGGCCAATAAGCCTATGAAAAGATCTCACTGTCACTAGTCACCAAGAAACACAATCAAAGCCTCAATGAGGTAGAGCACCATAGTGCATGCTTGTAATCTGATCTGCTGAGGGGCCTAAGGCAGGAGAATTGCAAATTTGAGGCCAGCCTGGTCAGTTTAGCAGGACCTTGTTTGAAGAAAAAAAAAAAAACAGTCAGGTATCACTTCATACCAGTGAGGAGGGATACCATGAAAACAAACAGTAAATGGCATGTGTTGGAGAGGATATGGAGCAATTAGAGCCCTCACACTGTGGTGGAAAAGTGAACTGGTGCAGCCACCATAGAAAATAGTTTAGTGGTCCTCACAAATTTAAGTGTTCATGTACCATATGATCCAGCTATATACTCCTAGGTGTATACTCAACCTGGAAACAAATGTTTAAGCAAAAACTTGTATATAAATGTTCATAGCAGCACCCTTCATAACAGCCAAAAGGAACAAACAATCGACATGTCTATTAATTGAAGAAGGAACAAAATAAAGGTGGTCTGTCCACATAATGGAATATTATCCAGTCATAAAAAAGGATGAAATACTGATACTTGCTATCACGTGGATAATCCTTGAAGACTTCTATGGTTTTAATGTTCCATCTCAAACTCCTGTTGAAATTTAATTGCCATCACAACAGCAGTAAAAGGTGAGACTTTTAAGGGTCATCGTGATGATAGAGTCCTCATGAATGGATGAATGCCATTATTGAGGAAATGGATTAGTTATTTCTGGAGTGGTTCCTGATAAAAAAGGATAAAGTTTCCTGATTTCCCTTATGTTTTGAGTGTGCTTGCCCATCCTTCCACCACGTTATGATGTAGCACGAAGGCTTTGGAAAGATTCTGGGACCGCACTTTTGTAATTCCTAGCCTCCAGAGGTAAATAAGCTTCTATTGTTTATGAATTACCCAGTTTGTAGTGTTCTTTTATAGTAGTGTTAAGTGAAGATGCAAAAGGTCACAGAGTCTATGATTCTAGCAGATGAAATGTCTACAGTAGGCAAATCCAGTGACAGAAAGAAGTGTAAATGCTACCCAGGCACTGGAAGCAGAAGGGGTTGGGAAACGATTTCTTCATGGCTTTGGAGTTTCCTTTTGGGGGTGATAAAGATGGTCTGGAACAAGGTAGTAGATGTGACTGTATAACAATGTGAATTACTGTATGATACAGAATTGTATGCTTTAAAATGGTTAAGGTAAATTTCATGCTCTGTGCATATTTTAAATGTGGTTTTTTTCTTTCCTTGTGCAGGGGCTCAAACCCACATGGTAAGCAAATACTCTACCACTGAGTTACATCTTCCACTCCCCAAAAGTTTGCATATAGGATAGAGTATGTATGAATAGTGGCCATGAAGTAGAGTGAATGGAAGTGAATAATAGTGTTATTGGATGGAGGGACACTTGGGGCACAGTAGAAAAGAATGGATTTGAATGATTGGTAGGGTGGGAAAGAATGAGTCATGAGGGGCAGAGTAAGCTTAAATGGAGGTACAGTCAGTCTTGTGCTCTTGGAAAGCAGTGATGGTTTTAGACAGCTTCTCCTCCCCTTTGTTTCAGTAAAGAGCTAACCTCACTGGTCCCTATCTTAGTCAATTTTGGCTGTCATAACAAAATACAAGAGATTGGGTGGTTAAACATTAGGAAATTCATGTCCCACAGCTTGGAGGCTGAGAAGCCTGAGATCAATGTGTCAGCTGATTTGGTTTCTGGTAAGGACTCTCTGGCTTGTAGACAGATGCCTTCTTGGTGTGTCTTCATGTGACTTATATTTTTGGGCAAATGGAAAGTGAGCAAGCTCTTGAGTGTCTCTTTTTATTAGGGCACCAAATCTATTGGACCAGGGCTTTTCCTCATGTCCTCATCTAACCATAGTTATCTTCCAGAGGCTCCATTTATAAATACCATCACATTGGGAGTTAAGGGTTCAACATACTTTTGGGAAGGGGATACAAGTCCATAACAGTCTCAGTCCTTTTCACATTCTGTAATAAGCCCTCTGCCCATTCATGACTCAAGGATGGCTCCTTTGTTCACTCTTTCAATCCCAGGTCCCATTTCTTGTGTTTGGTATGTCTCTCACATCTCCTTAATTGTGCAGTGCATTTTGCCTTTCACATGGTTAAGCAACAGAGTGTGATGATTTGGGGTAGGGAGTTTGAAATCCAAGATCCTGAACGGTGCCTGTCTCACCTTCATTCCTCTACTCGTCCAGTAGGTCTTGGGCTTGGCCCCATAGGAGTAGCACCCTGGCATCTGGGCCTTCCCAAGTCTCTCAGCTTCGGGGTCCCTGGAAGGTGGGCATGGAGGGTTCACTGTGTCCATTCTCCCTTAGGCTTTGACTAAGCTCTTATCTCGCCAGAGTCCATTTTCCCTGGCATTCTTTCTCTGATTTTGTCTGTATCTGTGCTTACTGGTGTCACTTTCTTCTCAGATAGACTTGTACCACCCCCCGGCTTTCTCCACATCTGCACCAGTGGTATCTCCCACATCGGACTGTACCAACCCGAGCCTTCTTCGAGCCAGCACAATTCTCCCTGGTGCTATTTCCTTGAGAGCACTACCACCTTCATATCTTCTCCCCATCTCCACATTTTCTCTGCAAGAGAATGTATTAGTGTCCGCTCTAATCCCCTTCTCCCAGGTAATAGTTCCCATAGAGGACAGTACCATTCCTGCTCCCCCCCCATCTTCGCAATGGTATGTTCATACTGAGGCGGGGGCTGTGGTCCTCGACTCTAAATTTGTTTTTTTTTTAAAAAACCGAACGTAACTCGTCTCGTCAGTAACTGCTTTTGCACAAAGGGCTCCACTCTTATCGCCAAGTTTTCAAATTCCTCCCGAAACCCCATCTCATCCAAACTTTATGAGGCACATTTTCTCCGCTGTACGGAATAGTAAAGGCTATAAAGATGTCTGCTCCCTTGACAACTGGCTTATTGGCGCGGCCATTTTTCTTGCCAGCCAAGTACAATGATTGTGGTAATCAAAATAATTTTGGCTACTAGCACCGATGGCTTCAGGGAGGGCTAGTGCGCATGAGCAAGTGTAGTGCGTGACAGTAACCAAGGCGGGGTGAAGGACGAAAAAGTGGTTATCAGAGAAGTTATGTCTGATTTCGGAAACATCAAGGAGACTTTGCCAGAATAACAATTCGGATTTTAAGATTAGATCAGTGGGTGAAGGAGGGCAGAGTTACCGCGAGCGGAAGTGAGAGGTCTGGTACTCTGCGGGCGGAGTGACACGGGCGAGTGTGGACTCTGTAAAGACGCCAATTTACTCAGTGAGTATATGGGAAGGAGCTCTCAGATGACTAATTAGAGTCGGGGAGAGGGTAAGCAGAGTGATGGGAGATCTGTAGAATGAGTGATGGGGTGCGGGGAGTCAACGACGGAGGGACTGTGGGGTGAATGATGGGAGTGTTTGGGGTATGTGATGAGAGGATCTGTGGAGTGAGTGATGGGGTCTGTAGTGTAACCGGTGGGGGTTCTGTGGAGTGTGCGATGGGAGGCTCAAGTCAGCGATGCAGAATCTGTGGTGATGAGTGCTGGGTGGCTTATGAGGTCCATGATAGGGCTGTGCTGTTGAGTGATGGGGATCCGAGGGGAAAACAAATGTCCTTTCCCTTTTTTCTTAGCTATAGCGTGGCCATTTTACCAGCTGGCATTTGTGGATTTCTGGCCTGGTGATTTGGTGAACTTTCAATCTGGGTATTCCTTGCCATCCGCAGCTCTCCTCTTTTCTCCTCCTCCCTATCAACAGCTCTGCCTTTTTAGGCCTTTGCCTTCTCTCCACAACAGTCAGACATGACTAAGTTCCGGGTAAGTTCTTACTTGCTTCTCCCCCTCCCTCCTACCCACGTTAGGATAAGTAGAAGCAAGGAAACAATAGTGCACAGTGGTTAAGGCCACAGAGTCTGGAGTTGAACTGCTCTTAACAGCTTTGTGAGCTTAGGTATGCCATCTAACCTCTCTGTGCCTTAGTTTCCCTAACTGCAAAATGGGGATGATGATGATAATGATGATGATGATGTTATAGATACTGATACTAATACTAATACTTATCTTGTACAGTTGTGAGGATCAGTTAATATATATTTAGAACAATGCCTGGCACATTCATAGTAAGCCTTGTATATGAGTTTGATATTAATTATTGTGTTGTTTATGTCATAAAATGGATATGTATAAACAGATGCAAAGTTAGGATTCAGAAAGTAGAGCAAGACCAGGGCAAGGTTGACATATATGTATATCACAGGATTCTATATACTTATGTTGAGCTTCAGTTACTTTCTAGAAGCTTTCTAGAGGCCACAACATAAAAAAAAGGAAACACACTCACTTGCTTTATTTATCACACATATAGGGAAAGTGAGTCACTTCTGCAGAAGCAAAGATTTTCTGATGTTCATCACACAGTTCTCTAACAGGTCAGCCAAGTTCCCCATCAGCAATCTTATAATAAATACAGGACTAGAATTTCTTTGCTGTGACTTAAAATACATCTTCATGTCAGCCAGAGGTGTCCTGCCAGAGCAGAACTAAAGGGGTGTGACTCTTCAGGAAAGCAAAACCATGTCTGTATAAAGGGCTCTCTTATGGTCTGGCTGGGTTTGGCGGTCAGGAACAATCAGTAAACTGCATGCCCTTCAAATAGTTTTCTAATACATTCTTTTCCTCATCTGGAATTTCACTATAGACTGAGAAACCCATAGGGTAGTCTTGTTATTTCCCTTTTTAGGTTCAGAATTCATGATGTCCCTGACTATTTTAATTTCATTTTCTTTCTTTCTTCTTTCTTTCTTTCTTTCTTTCTTTCTTTCTTTCTTTCTTTCTTTCTTTCTTTCTTTCTTTCTTTCGAGACAGGGTCTTGTTGTGTAGTTCAGGCTGGCCTTAAACTCCCTATGTATCCCTCAAACTCTCGGTGATCCTCCTGCCTCAGCCTCCGGTGTGCTGGGATTAGCATGTGCCACTTTGCCTTGCTTCTTTTGCTCTTCTTTAAAGAATCTAAATGATCTCATCATTTTTTCTTTTTCTACAGAAGTGAGATAGGAGTGGCACCAAAAATTGAAATTCTCAAGGAATACACAATCTAAAATGAGAAACCATCTCCTGGTCTCATATCACCACTCGTTCCATATAACCAATTATATGATGAATTTGGTTCATTTCTGACTGTTACAGCTCTTTCTCTCTTGGTTCTTTATATTTACATACACTTATAAACATGTAGTTAACAAAAATGAACTTCATGTTTAGACTTGGGTCTTGCGGACCAGGAGTGTAGCTCAGTGGTAGAGCACTTTCCTAACATGCACAAGGGCCTGGGTTCCATCCCAGCACCTCAAACATGCATGCTCATGTTCGAACACACACACATTTCATCCCTAAGTTAGCTGATTATGTCCAAAATCTGAAAAAAAAAAAAAAAAACAAAAATCCAAAATCCAAAATGTTTCTTGGTCCCACGCATTTCGGATGAAGGATAGTCATCTGCAGTAGTAAGAATAATGCTAATACAAATGACCATGATGACAAGAGAAACAGCAGAACAGGGACTAACATGTAGTGAGCTTACACTAGGCCTTGCATTACATTAAACAGTTTACATGCATAGTCACCCTTCAATTTTTATACTAGCCCTATGAAGGAGTACAGAGGAGGAACTGAGTCCCAAAGTAGGTAAATAAGTGGCATCCCGCAGGTGATCACGGGTACAGCTGGGATGGTCCTACTTGGTGAGGACTTGTCAATAGATGTTTCAGTACCAGTACATACAGATACTATTTTTTTGTATGTGGTTCTGGAGATGGAACCTAGGCTGTTGAACATGCTAGGCAAGTACTCTGCTGCTGAGCTACACTCCGGCTCTAGGGTTTTGTTTTGTTGTAATGCTAGAAATGGAATCCAGAGCTGCACACATGCTGGGCAAGTGCTCTACTGCTCAGGTCTATTCCCAGCTCATAGAGATATTGTTGACAGATGCATTTTTCTCTTTTATGCATAAACATTGATTTATTAATCAGCTCCATGTTGAAGGACTTTGTATGATTTCTGTTGCAGTGTGGCAGTGATTTCTCTTGTCCTTTATCTTTGTGTACAGTGACAAACCTTTCTAGGATGTCTGGCTCACAAGGTGGGCATGCTTTGAGCTTTCATAGACAACTCAGCTTGCTTTTTAAGATGTTAGTACAAATTGACACCTCTACTAGTGAATGAAATTACCCTTTTGACTATTCTTGTCATAGTTTTAAGCCTTACTAGTTGTTAGTTGAAAATGTATCATTTTTTAGCTGACCATCATAGCACACACCTGTAGTCTCAGCTCCCTAGGAGGCTGAAGCAGAAGGATTATGAATTTGAGGCCATCTCGGGCAACATAGTGAGACCCTGTTTCAAAGCCTAAATTAATGCATAGAGATGTAGCTCAGTGCTAGAGTGCTTACCTAACATGGGCAAAGCCCTAGTTTCCATCTGGAGCCCTGCAAAACAAAAACCCTCATTGTTTATTTAATTATCAAGATAGTTGAGCATCTTTTTTTACTTTTTATATTTCTTTTGTGAATTTCTTTTTACATACACTGTTCTTTTTCCTTTGGGTATTTGAATTTTTTTCTTTTGCATTGCTGGGGGTTGAACCCAGGGCTTTGCACGTGCTAAGGAAGTGCTCTACTACAAAGCCATATCCCCAGGCTTTTTTTTATTTAGGAAATTAACCATAGTTGTTGTATTACTTATTGGTATCTTCAAAATGGTTTCCCCAGCCCTTTTTAACAAACCTTTTGTAGAAATATGAAGAAGATAAAAATCTGTTGGGGTAGATTTGTTGAAGCATAATACAGAGAGAAAATTGGACAAAGTGTATAGTTTTATGAATTTCTTTTTGGGGGGGGTGCCGGGAATCGAACTCACAATCTTGAGCTTGCCAGGCAGGCACTGTGCCACTGAGCTATATCCCCAGCCCCAAGTTTTATGAATTTCTGAAAATTGAAAATACCTGCATAACCAGTACCTAGTTTAAAAAGGAGAAGGTAACACACCATCAGAAACTTTCATGACACTTTCAGTCACTGTCTGTTAACTTACCAGTGACTACTTTCTGATTTCTATCACTGGAAATATCTTTAGCTTGTATTAAATGTCATATAAATATGACTATACATTATTATTTTGGGGTCTGGCTTCTTTCATTCATTATATTTGCTTTCTTTTGGAGCGTGTTAGTGGGGGTTGAACCCAATGGCTCGTATATACCAGCCAAGCACTCTACCACTGAGCTACATCCCCACCCCATCTTAATGCTTTTAAGATTCATCTTTGTTACTTGATGTATCAGTTATTTGTTCCCTTTCCATGATTGTCCTATTCTGTTGTATAAATATATCGCAATTGTTCATCTGTTCCACTGCAGATGGATGTTTCCAGTTTGGCTATTACAAATAATACTTGTATGAATTTTCTGGTTCATGTCTTGGTGAACATAGGTGTATGCATTTCCATTGGGTATATGCCTAAGAGTGGAGTTGCTAGTCCTAGGTTAGGGGTATTTTCAGCTTTAGTAGAGTCTACCAAGCTGTTTTCCTCAGCAATTGTACTATTTTACTCCCACTGACAATGTATGAGAGTTCCAGTTGCTCCATATCCCTGCCCCTGTTTGGTTTATTGGTCTTAATTTTAGCCATTCTGTTAGTATATATTGGTATCTTATTGTGGTTTAAGTTTGTATTTCTTTGATGACTAATGATGCTGAATATCTTTTTATGTGTTTATCGACCATTTGGATATCCTTTTTTGGTTAAGTATTCAAAAATTTTGTTTTACTTTTTCTATTGTGTTATCTATATTTATTTATTATAGAAGTTCTCTATAGTTTCTATAGTATAGAAGGTTTTTTGCTTTATATAGATATAGCAAATATCTTGGAGAAGGTTTTTTGTGGTGCTGGGAATGAAACCTAGGACTTTGTGCATGCTAGGCAGGCACTCTGCCACTGTGCCATATCCCCAACCTCTGAAAAAAAGGCTGTTTTAAAATGAAACAGTGGATTCACTCTGAAGAATGTTTCCTTTATCTTAAAAAAATCCCTCTAATTACCCTGATTTGATCACTATATATTATGTTACATGTATTAAATATTACTATACCCCATAAATATGTACAATTATTATATATTGATTTCTTTTTTTATGTATTGATTTTTAAAAATCATTAAAATAAAAATTGACATTTTGGGAAAAATACCATTACTTTAATTTTTGGTCAAAATGATTGAACAAAAGTATGCAATTACAGGGATCAGTGTCATTCGAGGATGTGGCTGTGGACTTCACACAGGAGGAATGGAATCGACTGGACCCTACTCAGAGGACCCTATACAGAGATGTCATGCTAGAGAATTATAGCCATCTTGTCTCTCTGGGTGAGGATGGCTTCCATGAATAATTTATAGTGTTCCCAATAGAATAACTTACCATCTGTGATGTACTTCAATGCTTTGACCTTAGGTTGTAGGGATTAAAGATTGTTATTCCCTCTTAAACTGGAAAAGGTGTTTGTATTTTCATGTGAAATTTACCCACATTAAAATGTACCTTCCTAAATATTTGAAGCCCTAAAGGCCACACAGAGGTGCCCAAGTATTGTATCATTTTCCATTACAGGATATCCTATTACCAAGCCAGATGTGATTGCCTCTTTGGAGCAGGGAGTCCTGGGGATAATAAAGAAAGAAATCCCAAGTTCAATTTGTACAGGTAAGAAATGAGAACTGGGGGATAAAGGAAATAAGACCCTGGAGGGTCTTTGAGAGCTAGTGATCTTGGAAAGCTCAGGAACATCTTCCTAAGGTATCTGTACTATTGTTGCAAACTCCAAATTGTTAGTTTTTTGAATTATTGTCTCATGGTAAGCTTGGAATAAGATGGTGTGGAGCTACATTCTAGCCTTGTCCTCTTCTTCTCTTGGTTACTTCAACTGTTTTTAGTCTTTATTAAAAGCTCTTTGCATTCTAATTTTTCCTTCTGCCAAATCCTAAATTTCCTCCTCCGATGTCCTTTTCCTATTCATATCCCCTAAACCTATTTTACCTTCTGTCCCCAGTTTGAAGCAATTTTTCTTAAATAGTGAAGTCACTGATATTTATTGTTATTTTCCAATAAATCCAATGCCTATTGGATCAACTTGGGTTTTTTCCTCTCAAGCTCTGAGTGTAGTAGAGCTATGTACTTGGAATTTCTTTCTAGTAGCTAGATTTAAAATAAACATCAACTTATCGGAGGCCTGCTTCTGACAAAGGTGTACTCACAGACTATGGTTTATCATTCTTCTTTCTAGAAGATGGGCAAGCCGAAGACCAGCTGGAGAGGCACCAGGAAAATCGAAACAGATACCTGAGGCAAACTATATCTACTGATGAGAAAAAATATGTGGCTAAGGATGGAGGTCATGAATGTGATAGATTTGTAAACCCAGTTCCTCAGAGCACATGGGTAGTTTCTTCAGGACATACACCCTATATAAATGACTCATGTGGTAAAACTTTTAAGGGTAATCTGGGCCTACTTAGTCCTAATAGTCTCAGCTTTGCAGCTCAGCAATGTTATGAATGTAATGGATGTGGAAACTTATTAATTCATGGCAGGCCTGAGATGAATAATGGAATGAAACCTCATGACTATAATATGTATGGGACAGATCACAGTCATAACTTTGTTCAGCATGATATGACTCAGGCTGGCGAGAAAACCTATGAATGTCCTGAGTGCAGACTAGCCCTCAGTACAAATTCACTCCTTATTGTTCATCAGATCACTCACATAGGAGAAAAACCTTATGAATGTACAGAATTCAGAGACACATTTGACAAGACCACACACCTCAGTATACACCAGACCATGCACACAGGAGACAAACTCTATGCCTGTAATGAGTGTGGCAAATCATTCAGAGAGGAATCCACACTGCATATACATCAAAGAACCCATACAGGTGAAAAACCATATGTGTGTGCTGAGTGTGGCAAAGCCTTCCAGGAAAAGACAAAGCTAATCATACACCGGAGAACTCACAAAGGAGAGAAGCCCTACAAATGTTCAGATTGTGAGAAAACCTTCAACCAGAAGGCACACCTCAGTGTACATCAGAGAACACACACAGGAGAGAAACCTTTTGAATGCAGTGATTGTGGCAAATACTTCAGAGAGAAATCAACCCTGAATATACATCAAAGAACTCATACAGGAGAGAAACCATATTTGTGCAATGAGTGTGGCAAAGCCTTTCGAGAGAAGACAAAGCTCATCATACATCAGAGAACACACACAGGAGAGAAACCGTATGAGTGCTCAGAGTGTGGGAGGGCCTTCAACCAAAAGGCACACCTCAGTGTACACCAGAGAACACACACAGGGGAGAAACCTTTTGAGTGCAATGAATGTGGCAAAGCTTTCAGAGAGAAATCAACACTGCGCAGACATCAAAGAATTCATACCGGAGAGAAACCTTATGTGTGTCCAGACTGTGGAAGAGCCTTCACCCTGAAGCTGAGCCTCAGTGCTCATCAGAAAATTCATACAGGAGAAAAAACAGATGGATGTACCGTATGTGGAAAAGTCTTCTCTCGGAAGTCATATCTTATGCTACATCAGAGATCTCACACAGGGGAAAAATTTGAGAAATCCTATGAATGCAATGAATGTGATAAAGCATTCTTCCAGAAATCATATCTCATTATTCATCAAAGAGTTCACACAGGAGAGAAACCCTATGAGTGTAATGTATGTGAAAAAGCTTTCTCCCAAAAGTCATATCTCATTATACATCAAAGAACTCATACAGGAGAGAAACCCTACAAATGTGATCTATGTAGCAGAGCCTTCAGAGAGAAGTCCAAACTCACTGTACACCAGCGAATTCACATAGGAGAGAAACCCTATGACTGCTCTGAATATGAGAGAAACCTTCCAGAGGTCATAGCACATCATGGGTTCAACAACTCAGAGGGAAGAGAAACCAAGGAACTGAAAATAGAACATCTTTCATAGCAAAATCAAAAAAGGAAAAAAAGGAAAAAAAGTGAGATGAGTACTTGTGCTTTAGCTCAGGTGATCAGGGCATGCTTCTCTGAGGACCTGATATTTGAGCTTCAATGTGAAAATGAACCATCAGCCATACTGAAGGAAGAACATTCCAGAAGTAGTAGCAAGATCCAGGGTCCCAAAGCAAAAACTTGGCCTTTGGACTTGGATCATGGGTGTATATTTTGTTACAACTTTCTTTTTGGTACTGTAGATTGAACCCAGGACTTCTTACATGCTAGGCAAATGCTCTGCCACTGAGCTACATCCCTAGCCCTACCATGGGTATATCTTGGTTGACCATTCTACATCAAAGAGGTTGTTCAACACTGAAAGCTTTTGAAGTCTTCAGTACATGAGAGCTGTCAGTCTGGAGGCTAACCTTTACCATAAATCTAGGCAGAAGCATCAAGGGTAACACAGTTTAATTTGTTTCAATAAGTATAGTCCCTTGGAAATGATGTAAGGGAAATAGACTTCCAAATTTAATACCAAATTCTCAGAGAAGACAATAACATTTGTTAAGAATATCTATTTTGTCATCTCTCACAGTGGGGAATAAGTGCTACCTCCCAGGAGAAAAGGGTTTATCAACTGATAAGAAAGTCAGATTTAGAGATAACCACTAAGGGAACAACAATTAAGACTATACTATAAATGTTCTGGATTATTAGAACAGGATGCATATTCAGAATAGCATAAAGAAAACAACTCTAGGGTATCAATCCCAATTCCCAGAAGTAACAACAGTTGGTAATGCCAGCACTTCCACCACAGCATGCTCTATGGGCAAGATGTCAGCTCCGTTTCTCTATGTGGACCTCCCTTTCTGAGCCCCATCATACAGCCTTTTCAGAGAGGCTATAACTTGCTTGATAGGCTTGTAGGAGATCCATTTTTTACTTATGTTTACCAGAGTTTATTCTGCTTTTGATGAATAATTGTCACTTTGGAATTCAGGACCCAGAGTTATGGCACCCCCAAGGAGATTAAGATTTGGTTCTCTCTGTTGGTTGGGGCTGAACACAGGGGTAATCCAGTTGGCATTAAGGAATGGGACTCAAGCTTCCTCTGGCATGGACTGGCAGCTACCTGTTTTATTGAGTATCTGTGCTTATCTTGGATGAAGTAAACACTGAAAGCAAGACTGGTAGTTGAGTAACCATCCCCAACCAAAGAGTACAAAGGACGTGAAGGACTTCTTCATGAGAGTGGCTGCTTCCAGTGGGGGTGGCCAGTGACAAGAAAAAGAATGGCAAGTTCAAATTCCTAAATGCTCTGCTCAAGACATAGACTGAAATCCAGGAATTCTGTACAAAGAAATTATTACCTTGTGTATCCATTGCATTCCTTGCCTAAATTCCCAGTCTTTTGTTTGGAATTTAGGATTCTGATTGTGAAAGGGCATTTTGGGGCTGAGAGAAAGGATGGTGCTGTGTGAGAGGATGTAGAAGAGTGTGAATATTTTAAATTCCCAATTCCCACTGAGCTTGTGTAAGCTGAATCCAATTCCATTTGCCCTTGAAGAGATTGTATCTGTCTTAAATAAAGACCCTGTAGTGGCCTCAACTGAGACTGCCGCTTTTTGAGTGAAGCCAATTTTCATATCTTACTCCATCCCTCTATCTCCAAACCTATAACTGTCTTTTGTACCACTTTATGTACTCTGCAAACATTAATTCAACTAATCCTCTCAATACCTTCATGAGGTAGTTGCTATCCTTATCATCTTCATTTTCTAGATGAGGAAACCGAGGCACAGAAATTAAGTGCCTCTTTCAAGGCAACACAGCTAATAAGTGGTAGAGATGGCGTTTGAACCAATGAGAACCTATGCTCTTAACCACTGTCTTATCTTTCCATCCCCAACACCAAGTGTTCTAGTATCTTGATTATAGCTGTGACGATGTGGGAGAAAGTGCCCCCAGGCATTCAAAAAATAAAGAGACTCAGACATATAATATGCAATGCTTCTTGCATTGTTTATTGTGGGTTTATTAAACCCACAAAAGAAAGGAAATGAAAATTTCCATTCCTGGGAATTTGAGTTATGGATTAATTTTCTTTGAGTCAATTTTCACGTACACATCACATCCCTTGAGCCATTGAGATAGATCATGACCAGAACAGTGCCGGCTCCACGAATCCCTGGGAAATGAAGAGAGAGAGGATCAGAGGATGAGGCAGACAAGTTGATGCAGAGACAGTACCACTGTCCCTGCCTGCCCACCTGCCTCTGAACTTACCAGGCATTCATACTGTTCTTTGAGGACACCACCTGCTTAGCACACATGATGTCATCCAGAATATGGCGGTTAAGCAGATCTGGGGAGGGGCAAAAAGTGCAACATGATGACCTGGTACATTGGGGACCATTTATTTATAAATGGTCTCAACTGCTACATTGGCTGGTTCTGTACAACCTTGACTCATGTTGACTGGTCCTGGCTGATCTCAACTCATTTTGGCTCATTATGAGTAGCTGAACCAATATATTGGCTTGCTCTGGACAACATAAAACTCCATGTTCACCAGCTCTGGATAACTTCAATTGTCATTATGTCTGGTTTTGAATGATCTCAACTCTAATGCTGGCTGGTCTGACATATGTTCAACTACCATGTTGGTTAATTGGTAAGCTAGCTGCCATAGTGCCCAGTCCTGGTGACTTCAAATACTATTGTTGTTGGGTCCATCATAAACTCAGCTCCTGTTTTGACTGGTTATGAATCTCCATATTGGCTAGTCATGTTCCACCTCAGCTACCCTGAAGCCTGGTCATAGATGATCTCAACTACCATTTTGGTTAAATTAGAATGACCTTCAACCACTACTTAGCTATTAATGACCTCAACCACCATGTTATCCCATTCTAGGCAGTCTCAGCTGCCATTTTTATTAGTTAGAAAATGTTGACTTCCGGTTTAGCTAATTCTAGACTACCTAAATTTCCATACTGTTTCAAACTGAGCAATCTTAACTTCAATTTTAGCTAGACTTGAAAAAAACTCAGTATCCATTTACCATGCTTTAGGCATCAATCTCTATGGTTGTCAATAGTTGACAACCTTAGCTTTAAATCTGGCTAATCCTGGGTGACCTCTTCTGATCTGTTGACAGGACTTGGACAATCTTAACCTCCATTTGGACTGTCCTCAAATAACAGTCTCAATTTTGGCCTGTCTTAGACAACCTCAACCACCGTTTTGGCCAACCCTGAGCAACTTCCACTGCTATCTTCTTTTGTCCTTAACACCATCACACTCTTGTCTGGAAAGTTGTGCATTTCTTCACAGAGGTAGTTTGTTTCTGTTCCTACTTCCAGACATCTGCCACTTTCCTCAAGGCCTCTTTCACATGGAGCTAAGTTGCATGTTTTCTGCATGTCAGAAAACTGCAGCTTCCATAATGGGTGAGATTTGGGGGCCCTGCATTTTCCTAACCTGGACAACATCTCAGGGTAGTCTGATTAAAGTGTCAGGATCGTGTTTCCATCAGCACAGAAAAATTTTCCTCTTTTCCCATCGTTTTTCTGCTTTTAGAAGGAGAGCAAAATCCTCCTTTTGGAGGAAAGTGTAGTTTACACAACCTTGCCTTCTGTGTGTGTTGTGTGGAGCTTCCATGTGTTCCTAGTGCTGACTTACCATAACAATCCATGTGGCAAAGGTTCTTGGTAGGTGTGATACCATTGTCACACCACCAGGCAGAATTCAGCTGGAAAATGCCATATTCACTGCTGCCATCAGGATTGTGGTCCACGAAGGCGGTGTCAAACCCACTCTCATAGTGCGCCATGCACAACCCTGAGGCAGGGAGAGGGGAGATAGGAGACAAGCATGAGGCATAGGAATAAGGAAGTTAGGGTAAGGCAGATGAAGACAGGGTTGATTGTGATCTTAGTGGTGAGGTGATGGTCTTGGTTTGGTGGTGAGTGTTGATGTTGAGGATTCTGGTGAGAATAGTGCTAGTGGTAGTGCTGGTGTTGATGAGAGAGACTGAGTTAATGGTTATGAAGGCAATGATAATGATGATATTAGACTTGAATTAAACCACTCATCACAGTTACTAAGATACTGAAAAGATCAAGCCCTGGTCCAGAGAAATGAAAAATGACAAGGGAGGTCTGAGTCTGAGTGTGTTGGATGGTTTTGGTTAAGGGTGGGACTTGGGGCAATTGTAATCTCACAGTCTCCAATGCTGTAGCCTTTGAAGCCGTTGAGGCCTGCCTTCTGCAGCTTCTTTGCTAGCTCACAGCGTTCATAAATCTTGGCATCCACGTTGGCCGCCATCAATATGGCCAGGATCATTATCACTGTGCCTGAGAACTCCATTATGATAGCCACAAACCCTCCAAACTAACTAACTCCTTGCTCCTGACTCACCCTGTGGTGTTCAGAAGCACTCTGGAACTCTGGGCTCTATGAGCAGTGGTCTGAGTAATAGATTCTAGAACACTGAGGTCAAAGGTTGAGCTGCCTCACCATTTTCCCAAGTGCCAGCTGTGTTAGAATCCAAAAGACATGCACAAGGACAAAGAAAGGCACTGATATATACCAGAGATGGAGGGAAAAAAGGGAGAAACACAAAGATGTCAGAAAGAACTGCAGGGAGAGGGGTTGGGACACACAAAGGACAGGCATTACTCAAGTACTAGGCCTCACACTGGGCCTGACACTCCTCTGCCACTTGATTATCTCCATTTCTTCTCACTGACCATCATCACTTCCTCCTCCTCTGCTGAGTGGGCAGTGCTGCTTCTCACACTGTGGTCTATTACCATCTCTGAGCCCTCATGCTCTGTAGAATTTGATCACTACACCCTTGCCTCCTGCCCTCCCGCCTCCATTGACTCCTTGTCTAAGTCTGTTTGTGCTGCTATAACAGACTATCTGAGAAGGGGACGTTTATAAAGAACAGACATTTATTTCCTCACAATGCTGGAGGCTGGGAAGTCCCCAGATCAAGGTGGTAACATCAGATGAGGGCTTTCATGTTGCAACTTCACATGGCCAAAATTAGAAGGGCAAGAAAGTGAATTCATTCCTGCACACCCTTTTAACAGCAGCATTGATTCATTCATGAGATTGGCGCCCTCACGAGCTGAACACTTCCCTGCATGGCCCACCTCCCAGCACTGCTGCTTTGGGGATGAAATTTCTAACACCTGAAGTTTGGAGGGGACACATTAAAACAGTAGCACCATCTTGGTACCTCCTTCACCTCTCCTCAGTTATTGCACTGTTACATGCTAATTGAACCTGCCCTATGTTATCTATTGCAAATGACATAGTATGTATATAGTCCTCATACTCAACTTCTTTTTCACCTTTAATCTCTGCCTTTTATTCCCCAGTTCACTTAGACTGCCTCTTATCCAATTTTATTCGCTCACATTGGCCTCCTCCACGATTCTCTAACCCTCTCCTTAGCATTACTCAAATTCTTTCCTGTCGTGCTCCTTCACCTCCATTCCCTCGCAGACTCATTTTCTCCTTTCACCTCTACTTTCTGACACTGCATCAAATGAGCTTTTCATCCTCACGGGCACATGCTTAAGCTCTGGTCACTGACCCTGGGCCTCATTTTCTCCTCCATTCACTCCCTTGCTGCCTCTTACTCATTTCTATTCTCTCAGATGCTGCCTCCCATCAGCATTTTCTGAACCTCTGTCCCTCACTACTTCTAAACACTAGCTAAAGTGACCCACTGTCTTAGTCACTTTCCTTGTCTCTGAGACACAGTTCCCAACACCTGCAACTTAAAGGAGGAAATGCTTATTTTGGCTCACAGTTTGTAGAGATTTCAGTCCATATTAGTCCACTGGCTCCAAGGCAGAATGGCATGGCATAGAGTGGTGGCAAACCTATTGCATGTGTGCCACAATGAGCTGTTTGTATCACTGAAAGCTCTAAAAGGCTTGGCATCACTGGCACAGGGGCATAGCAGAGGAGAAGCTGCTCATAGCATGGCAGAGGGGAAGCAGGAGTTTAAGGGGGGAGCCAGGGTGGGAGATAAACCTTTGCAGGTCAGGTCCCTTGTAACTTGCCTCTTCCAGCCAGACCCCACCTCTTAATAGCAAGTCAGCTATAAGCTCCCATAATCCAATTACCTTCCAAAAGCCCCCCCTGTGAGCGCATGAGGCTCTTGAGGGCATCTAGATGTAAACTATGGCATCCACACGTACTCTGTGCTTAGTCACCTGGACTCTGCTCAATTTTCTCACTCACTCTCACTTGGCCTCTCATGACCCCATTCATTTAAATTCACTTCTGATGTAACCCCATTATCCACTTTTCGCATTTCTCTCCTGATTCATAACTACTTCCACTTTGTCCCAGTACCCCCATTTAGTCACGCATTGCCTCGAATTTGCCACTTTTGTCTTTTTGAGACAGGGTTTTACCATGCAGTTCAGGCTGGCCTCAAACTCGCACTGACCCTCCTGTCTCAGTCTCCCGAGTGCTGGGATTATAGGTGTGAGCCACCACACCCAGCCAAATTTGCCACTTTTTATTCACATTGGGGCCCGTGTTTCCCAACTTACTCTCCCTGGACCTTGTGAACTTCATCTGCTCTGTGTTCACCTCACAACACTCACATTTATTCACTTTCTGCTCCTGCATTCTTTGCCCTTCATTCATTCCCAATTTGGCCTTCATTTTCCATTATTCACCACGCCCAGTGCCTTATATCCTGTTTACTGATACATTGGCCAGGATGGAAAATTCTGATATATTGTTGAGAATGCAGTTTGGGTGCATAGAACACCACCACCACGAACGTCAGAAGTTTCAAGAAGGGGGTTCCTCTCTTGGAAGGCAGGTAGTTCAATGCTAGTGTGATTGCTCCAAGGTCACCAGAAATCTGGATTGTTTTGTGTTGTTGCTCCGCCCAAATTACTGCTTCCTTGTGGCCCAAATTACTGTACACAATGGCAAAACTTTTGTAGTTCTGATAAGATATATTTTAAGAACAACTGTAAAGATGGCTTTCCAACCAAGTGGGAGGCCTTTCTCATTGCCTTTGGGTGGGAAAACCGCAGTACTCAAACTACATGGTGGGACCGTCAGCTTTCCATACTCCTTTGAAGATCTAGCCACTTGCTGCTTAGGTTACTGTATGAGAAGAGTGCAATTACAGGGAGTGACAGTAGAGGATGCCTGGGACAGACAGTGGAAGTTCTGGCTCTGCAGCAGGGAAGCTGGCCTCTATAGCTTGTGAATGTGTCCTGGACAGTTTCTGAAGTGGGACAATAACTGGCTCAGAAATATTTGCAGAGCTGGCAATCACAGTAACCCAACTCCCACCAACCTTAAAGAATTTCACCCTCTGCATAGGTGTGTGTGTGTGCGTGTGCGCGCACACACACACATGAACACAAGATGGTGAGGATGATGTTTCAGGGGCTGAAAAAGGCCAGATTTCAATGGGCCTTAAAGGTCCAGCTCTCCTTATTTTCCACTCCTGATACATTGAGTAGACAAGTTTTATACCCAGGAGGTGCTGATTCTCCAGGGAACAAGAGTTTTGAGTTCCTCCTTTGCTTTCTCTCCCTTTGCTTGCTCCACTCCTTGAGTAGTTTTAATAGTTCTAGTATGAGGTTCCTAAGATACTTTATGGAAATTTTGTGGAATATTAAATAAACAAAAGTAAAGTGCTATTGGGTAGAAGTTATGGATCCAACCTTGAAAACTTGTGTGAACTTGTGCAAGTTGCTTAACCTCAGACTCAATTTCCCTATTTGAAAAGTAGGGGAACCATGGGCCTGTTGTGGTGATTATTTCAGGCAGGTCATGTTATGTACTTCACACAGTGCGTAGCACACAGGACATACTGAGGTATGTCACTTCTGTGCTTGTTGCCAGGAGCCTCCTCATTGGTTTCCCTGTTCCCACCCTTGTCCTTTACAGTCTGTTCTCAACACAGCAGTCTGCAAGTCACCTTTTTATTTTTTCCCTTTTATTAAAGTTTTTACACACATATATGATTTTATTTAAATAAAAAAACATTTGTTATGTGCTAGATGTTCTAAACTTTTTACAATTTGTGACTTATTTGTCACTACAACCTAATTTTTTTTATTTTAAAGAATAAAAGAAGGATAACATAATAATAGGGGGCACTTAGCAAATTACAGACAAAATGGTAGGAAATTATCAATGGTTATCGTTTTACATATTATTGTCTACAAAATAGTTTCTCAGGAAAACAAATAGACAAATAATAGTGAGTTACAGACAAAAGAGGTAGGAGATTATCAAGAGTTGTTGTACTATACTTTGGTATCTTCAAAGTGGCTTCTAAAGAAAATAAATAGAGCTATACATGAGTGACCTATTGAAAAATCATTAACTATTCTCAATGGTTGTTGTAGGAAACACATAATAATAAACATACATCCATTTATGAAATAGGATAGGAACATTACAAACTTTACACAGTTATGGATATATTAGTAGGAAAATATCAATGGCTGCTGTAATACGTGGTGGTATCTTCAGAGTAGTTTCTCAGGAAGACAGAGATATGCAAGAGGGACCTATTAAGTAGTTACAGCCTAAGGGTTGTCAAAAATAGCATATTACCTCCTCACCAGTGACTCCTTTCACTGAGGTATGACGGCTGGAAGGAAGGCCAGGATTGAAAAGAAGGACCGAGAGACTTGCACCTGTGTCTAGCAACAGGCTGTTTTCTTGTTCCTCCATAGTCATGATTACCCAGGGCTCCTCGATGGAGATGACAGTCTGGCCAGAGGGAGAAGGCAGAGT